CAGGCATACTTTATCAGCACACCGATGTTGAAGCTCAGTCTCCAGCATAGCAGACCTGTCCACGAAGACTCCATGTGGGGCAGGGTACATTACTCGTACGACTAGGTGTCTATCCGAGAGTGAAACAGCACCGTCCCGCATGACTAACGGCTGGAATCAGAAGAGTATACAATTCCTCCATAGCTGTCCACCCTGCAGACACAGGGCGCAATCCCAATCCAGTCGACACATTCAGTATTACCTACAAGCTCCCTGATACTCGATGGAGATATATGCGCAAACTGATACTAAAAGCCGTTGAAGACGTTGGAATTACGCTACACAAACCGAGTCTGCGTTCAGAAGCGATTCATTCAGGTTTTACGACTATCCTCGTCCGATCGGTTTATTATCGATACTCAGTTGGATCGCATGCAGGCCCAGACATTGACCGGATCAATAGCGATAGTTGATCTCTTCTGAACATTGGTTTTACCCCTTTTTAACAAGTTCATTAGTCTGTCTGTTTGAGTTAACTGATATGTACTTGTACTAGCCTGACGAAGAATTATCGAAAACATGTTTGCTAACACCGCCTTTTAACTGATGGATCGTCGACGGACTGTGCCCGCCGGTGCGGTACACAACGAACTGCGTCTCTCAACAGCTGCAGTCAAACCTACGTTCTGACCGTTAATTCTGGTGGTGAAAACGAATTGCGGAGATATAAGTCACTGCGTCGGCGGGAAACGTTCACAGTTTATTTTATCTCATCAAGACCACTAGTTGCAGTTCCCATACCAACAGTCAGTCCGACGGTACGAAAACCACTACCCTGCACATTCTCTCAGTTCGCTGAGCGAAACACAGCCCTCTGTGGTACTTCCGTTTCTCTCGGTTGATGCTTGGCCTGTCCCCCCCAATCCCCCTACTGAAAGAGAGATTCGAAGCGCAACCCCGTCTTCGGGGTATCATAAAGCACCGCGTTCTATTCCAAGATGGCAGGAATGTACTTGTCAGCGAAATCTTATCGTTGTTCACGAGGATGTTGACTGGCGAGAGGCTTCCCAACTCATTTAGAGAATGTCATTGTCCCGATTTACGAGAAATGCTCCACGTGGATTGCGCCAATTACCGCGAAACTTCGTTGATCTTCGGGTAGGTACTATTTCGCAGGCTGTCAAGGACTAGTAGGGACTATTCTTTAAAGAAACAGGCCAGTTTTCATCCAGTCCGACGTTACACACCTCACCAAATTTTTGAACTTTGAACAACGCGCGTGCAGTTTCAAATTTGAGGGAAACTTTTTCTCACCAATTTTTCCCTCGAAATTGACTTGGAAGCGTGTACCATAAGGGCGGAGTGTCAATCTTTTACTCTGTTCCAACAGTTCTTGGATTACTATCATCAAGGGTGAGAGCTAACACGCGGAACCTTTTGCATACCGATTTCTCGTTCTATGCCCTGATCCCCTTTGCACCTTGGCTTTGCTATCAGGATTGTCATCGACACTCATTTGTCGGTGGATGGATTGTATTTTGTCCTACTCAATATCCCGGTGGGTTCGTTCCACTACATTTTTTCGTGTTTGCTGTAGCTGTGGTTTTGTCATGGGTTGTCGTTGGCCACGCTTTCTCCGGGTCATTGTACCCTTTTATCCCTGCGTCAATTCTATCGTTTAGGTTTTATATATACATATATTTGTCCATCGCTTTGCACTGCATATCTCCATTTTCAAATTTCATTGCCGTTCCTTGTTTGTACATGGCGTCAACGGACACTTATTATTGTGGAGAGCATAGCTGCGGTAGAGTAGTAGAGAGAGGAATTTACTGTGATTGATGCTTATCGTAGTACCATAATGTTTGTTCGCGGTTGGACGAAGATTCCATTGCATTATATTCTCTTCATCCTAACTTGAAGTGGATTTGCTTTCAGTATGTATGTTTGGCAGACACCTGCTCGCGTTTACTATATGGTGGACACCTGGTGCACTCTAGGAATGGCGCTGGTGGACAAGATGCTTCTGATGACGACAACCTACAAAGGCCCAATAGGGCAGAGAGGCTGATTCGGGAGCTGGGGTCTATTATTGAAGTCTTGGGAGCAAAAGTTGACGTGTTACATTCACATTTCGAGCATTATGCAACACTGAACTCGCTATGGGTAGGCAGAGAAATGTGCTTATTTACAACCGAGAAGAACCGGTAATACGAGAGGCTAAGACCAGACGTGACTTGGATAGAAGGCTTGTTGGCTCGTTGGCATCAAAAGGATCCATCAGCTTGTCAGTTGGAAGATTGTAAGCGTGCTGCATCAGAGGGGTCTTGCAAGACCGATTTTGGTAGAGTTCAAAAATCCGCTTTATCGTGACCTACTCCTCAACCGAGCGGGCCTATTGACTAACCAAACAAATGGCCGCTATCAGGTGGCCCCCGATACGTGCGCTTCCAGAACCAACATCAGCTCATTATTAAACAATACCTTGGTTCTCTTTTATCAGATTGCAGGGGCTTCGGTCAAAGACGTTTGGTTGCATCTTCTATAACGGAACTATGATAAATGGGGCTCATGTTTATCAACTTCCCCAGACGGACCTTGTTACCTGCTCCCATCTCACCTCACCACAGAGCACATCATATATATATATATATATATGGTTGGCGGCATCCGGTTTCGGATTCGCCTGTCACTGTGGCAAGCCACAGGACGCCTGCGCCTACAGAGGGACCATGGGTGGCTTGCGCTGCACCACCCACAGCTCCATCCACACACCCCATATCCAGTGTACACCCGAAGGAATAACACCAGGAGGCATGCGGATGGGAACCACGTTTCATCAACGGAGCCGGCCCACACTCCTTCACAGGCAAACACAAGCACACTGTATTTGGGAAATCAAGCGCACACAAGGCGGTGGCTGGACCGTAGTCCGCTCCACACTGACTGCATCTAACCACTCTTCGAGCCTAGCACGGCCACAAGGACCATGCACCCTGTCTCCTCCAGCAAGGACCAACTGTCTCCTGGAGCCAGTATGGACGAGGTAGTGGGTAACAGACAGGTAGGCACCTTGTCAACATGCACATCAAGCGCAGCCACAGCGGGGATATCAAACAACAACAATATATATATATATATATATATATATATATATATATATATATATATATATAATCACCAGTCTATAAGATACACATAGGACCAGCGAAAATCATGAAACAGAAGTCAGAAATACAGAGACCACAAAGAATGAGTTAC